GTAGGGATAATTTTAAAAGTATTTTAATCGGAAACACAGCTGGTAATATTTGGTTTTAATTCGGCTTTTATCGGGGTTTATTTTTTGTATTTTTGTATTTTGTATTTTTTGTATTTTGTGTATATTATTTGTTTTTAATATGCTGTGAACCGCCCTGAGTCCTATGGGAGAAGGGCGGTATACAAATTAAAATAATAAAATAATAATAAAAAATAATAAAAGATGTGGGGAGACCCCCAAGCCCTCGACTGCCCGGCTCTCCAGAGCCCCCGAGAACTCCAGGCACACTCAGGCGTCACAGAGGGGAAGGGGCCTTGGAGGTCCTCTAGTCCATCCCCCTCCGTCATTCCGGACAAAGGGCTGTCCAGACCTGGGTGATAAGAGGAAGGGGGAGGCTGCCTAACTGAACTAGACCCCTCCCCAATCACCCCCCCAACACCCCTCACTTCCCAGTCTGAAATGGTTTTTGACAGGTGTCCTGCTGGCTCCCAGGGCGGAGAAGGGGAGCTCCAGGGGGCTCAGAGGGAGGGTCCCCAGGATATCTGCCTCTCAGGGGTCCTTTTCATACACCCAGCGGAGTCTCCCTCCCTCTCATCCTGCCCAGAGGGGACTTGGGGGCTTTGCAAGGCTCTCCCTGCATGTCTCCTCGGCCTCGGCTGGGAGATCCACAGGCACACACGCATGTCTCACCTCTGCATCGGCCCAGTTTTTTGCTTCATTGAAGGGCTTGTAGCAATGCCCTGCATAAGAGGACCAATCAGAGGGACAATCAGCTGCAGTACCTGTGAGGGAGGACAGGAGGCCCAATGAGAAGAGAGGAGGGGGGGAGGAGGGGGAGGAAGAAGAGGGGGGGAGGATGAGGAGGGCAGGAGGGGGAGGAGGAGGGGGGAGGAAGAGGAGGCAGCTGGGTCTGCAGAACACACTTAACCTGCTGTGTTGCAAACATCTTTCATGACAATAAATTGCAACCGACTTGCAGCTTCCTTTGCAGATTGTCCAAACCTCGGTTAGAGTGAACCCTGGTTTAATTCCCTGGAAGCTGCATGTCTGGTGTGTCTCTGTCCACGTTGGCTGCCTTTTTCATTCCATGAAGGGTGCAAAGGCAGAAATGGGCTCCTTAACGAACAGATTAACCTCTGCAGACCTGCCTGGGCCTCTAGTCCCAACTGAGCCAATTTGGCCTAGTGGTTAGAGCAGCTGGCTAGGAAGCAGGAGACGGGCAGTTCTAGTCCCGCCTTAGTCACAAAAACGGTGTCAATCACTCTCAGCTTAATCCACCTCACAGGGTTGTTGTGGGAAAACAGAAGGAGGAAAGAATATCAGGTATGTTCGTTTCTTTGAATTATTGGTAGTAGCAGAAGTAGTAGTAGTAGTAGTAGTAGTAGTAGTAGTAGTAATAATAATAATAATAATAATAATAATAATAATAATAATAATAATAATAATAATAATAATAATAATAATAATAATAATAATAAAGGCAGGATACACAGGAATAAATAAATAAAAACCGTGAACCTTCTTGAGCCATTCAGATTTAGCAAGAATTATCCCCACTTTGGTTGCAACGTATCCAGACTACTGCAATGCCCTTGATGTGGGGCTGCCCTTGAAAGCCTCCAAAATTGCAATGGCTGGGGAAGGAAGCAGCCAGGCTGTTGACCGGTGCAAAGGAAGGGGGATCCGGTGGGTCTGTCCTAAGGGATCTCCTCTCGCCTCCTGGGTGCCCCCAAACAACTACAGGGGTTTAGAGGCAGATTATCCGTGGGGCTGCCCCCCTGCTCCCCCCTGCTCAAGAAGGTCCCATCTGAAGACGCCCCCACCCGCGGCTCAGCTCTTCAGCAGATGGGGAAGGGTCTCACCCCTTGTGTGGCTCCCATGGAGAGAAATCCCTAGCAAGAGGGGGGAGGGGCATGCATTTTCCCCAAGGGTTTTACTTCATTCTTAATTAATTAATTCTGCATTTCAGTGGGGTTAATTTTGCTTGGGTTTTGTATCGCTGCACACAGTCCTGAGTCCTGGGGCAGAGAGAGAAGGTGGGATCTGGATGGCAGAAGGAGCCAAGCGGGAATAAAAGCAACTTTGGGGAGAGGATTCTGGGGGGGGGGTCAAATCATGAAGGGGTTGGAGGTGGGAGAGCTTCGGCCTCTCCGGACACGAGGGACCCTGCTCGAACTCACCACTCAGGGAGAGGAACACGACCAGCAAGCCGAAGCTCACGAAGATGAATCGCCCCATGGTCTTCTTTCCTTCCCTGCAGAGAGAACTNTGAGCCAATTGAGGAGGGGGCTCAGGCTACACAGACAGAAAAGTGGGTAGGTTTAAAAGGGCAGAGCAAACGTATCCTCCTTCCTTCCCTGTCTCTCTTTCTATCTCTCTCTTTCCCTCTCTCTCTCCTCTCTCTCTCTTTCCTTCTCTCTCTTTCTCTCTCTTTCTCTCTCTCTCTCTCCCTCCCTCTCTCTCTTTCTACCTCTCTCTCTCTCTCTCTTTCCTTCTCTCTCTCTCTCTCTCCATCCACCCCAGCTGACCCGGAGCAGCTAAGCAGGGTTCCACTTGGGCGCTGCCTGGAGAGGAGACAGTCAGGAGATCCAGAGGGAAGAGAGGAGAAAACGGCCTGGAGGGGTCCCAGGAGTCACCAGCTCAGCTTGGGGGCCACTTTGCCCCATGCCCCACGTGGTGACCGCTCCGAAGGACCCTCAAAGCCCATCACTCCCTGGATGGGGGAGCAGAGGCAGAACCCAGGGCTTCAGGGGACACGTGGGAAGAGAAAAGCCTCCTGGGTATCTGTGGTTACTTCTTTTGAGGACCTCCTTCGCTCGTCTTGCCAGAAATTCACATTTTTAGTCACAAAGTCCCCAGGAGCCGATCTCAACTCCAGGGAATCTCCCCCCCTCCTTTGTACACGACGGAGCTTCTTCCAAGAGCTGAAAACCCAGCAGAGCAGGAGACAAAATCCTGATGGAGGAATTTCTGCATTAAATTAAAATAAGGGGGGGAGGAAAGAACAGCCCCCCCCAGGCCAGGCCTCTAAAGCCCCTGAGCTGAAGGCCCAGCAGAGTCTCCCCCAGGTGTGGAGCCCATCCAAGGGCCCCTCCAGAGGGAGGAAGGCCTGGGGGCTTAGATGGGGGCCAGGGCAGGATCCGGCCCTTCAAGACCGCAGTGGGTCCTTCAGGAGGAAGGAAGGATTTGGGGAGGGGAGAGAGAGAGAGAGAGAGAGTGTAAAGCTTTTCTGCTTTGGTTTTCTCTGCCGTTGTCCCAGGCAGGAACATTGAATAGGGAGACCTCTGCCTCCCATTGGGAGATTCTTCCAAAACAAAACCACAAACCTTTAGAAACAGGAAAGGGGAATCGATAAAGATTAGCATTAGAGAGGACCTACATTCCAGACATTGCTCAGTCCCATCCAGAAAATACTGTGGCCAAAAGTTTGGAAGGCCAGCTTGACCACAAAATCTGCTTCTTCACTGCTTTGGAAGGAGACCAGATGTCCGCCTGCGTGCTGTTGTGTGCAGAAATTCTGGGAGAGACCAACAAGAAAGAGGAACACTTGTTCAGCTGAGAAGCAGATGTTTTTGTGTGTGTGTGTGTATGTGTGTGTGTTTCTGCCTCTGAGAACAGAGCAGGGATCAGACTGCCTGGTCCTGGATCTCCTTGACCCCTACAGTTGCCCTCCCTGAACAGACCCTCCTCCTCCCCCTCCCCCTCCCCC